GGCGAGCAGCTGCCCGGCAGCTGCCTGTGGGGGACCCCGGCGTACCGGCAGCCACGAAAGCCCAGGCCGAGCGGCCGCTCCCCGCCGCCGGGCGCGGCTGGTATTTTTTACTGACTGGATCATGATCACCAGTGATCTTCAAATGTCCCTGCCCCCGCAAGCGCAGTGCCGCCGCCACCCCGCGAATGCCCCACACATGAGCCGCACCTCGGCCTCGGCCTTCTGCCGCCGCTCCAGCTCCTCCCGCATCCGCCGCACCGCCGGGGTCTCCTTCACCGGCTTGCCGCCCTTCTTCCCGCCCGCCCCCGCCGCCGCAGTCGCCGCCGCGGCCGCCTCCGCCTCCGCCGCCGCAGCCTCCGCGCCGCCGCCGCCGCCCGCGGCGGCCTTCTCCGCGGCCTTCTTCTCTTTCTCCTTCTGCTTCTTTTTGAGTTTCTTCTTTTGAGCCGCCGTCAGCTCCTTGCCCGCCGCCGCCATAGCCTCCAAATCCTCACCCCCATCGTCCTCCTCCCCGCCCTCCGCCGCCGCCGCCGCGGGCGCTGGCTCCGCCGCCGCGGCGGCCGCCGGCACCGGCGCTGCCTTGGCCGCCGCGCCCGGCCCGTCGATCTCAGCCAACAGCGCGTCTATGTCGTCGTCGCCGCCGCCGCCGCCGCCGCCCGCGGCGCCCTTGCCCTTCTTCTTCTTCTTGCCCCCCGCGGCCGGCGCCGCCGCGGGCGCCTTCGGGCCGTCAATCTCAGCCAGCAGCGCCGCCAGCTCATCGTCCTCCTCTTTGGACGCAGCCGCCGCGACCGGCTTGCCGCCCTTCTTGCCGCCCTTCGCCGCGCCGCCACCGCTGGGGCTCGGCTGCTCGGCGGCGGGCGCGGGCGCAGGCGCCGGCGTGGGGGCCGGCTCGGCGGCCGCGGCGGGCGGCGCGCCGTCTTGCTCTAGGGCGGCAAAAAGTGCATCGGTGTCTTTCTTCTTTTTCTTCTCCTTTTTCTCCTTCTTCTCCGCCTTGGGCTCTGATGCAATTAAGAAAACCATGGGGATACGCAGGGGCACACACACGCAGGGGGAGGGGTCAGAGCTCGTGGCGAGGCCGCAGCCAAATGCGCGCCGCTGCGTCGCCGGCGGCAGGCAACACGCACGACAGGCGGCTCGGTGCGCGCTGGCCGCCCTGGAGCGCTCCCGCTGCTGCTGCCCTGCCCCCCACCCCGCCGCCTCCGCTGGAGCCCTCGCCCCTCGCCAAACCGGGAGCCACTGCGCATCGCCGCAGCCCCGGGGCCAACCACAGGCGCCCTGGGCCCTCGCAACGGCGGCCCCTCCCACTCCCCATCCCACAAAACCCGCAGCCCCGTCTCTGCCCCCCCTCCCCACGCACACATGCACATAGAGCCGCCCAGGGCCCTCGCAGCGGGGGGTTCGCTCCCACTCCCCCCCCCCCCACACACACAGAGAGCCTGCGGCCCACCGTCGTCGCCGCCCGCCGCGCCATCCTGCTCCAGCGCCGCAAAGAGCGCGTCAGAGTCCTTCTTTTTCTTCTTTTTCTCCTTCTTGGGGGCGCCGTCTAGTGGGGGTGTGGGGTCAGACAGGCCAGGGGGTCTCGTTAGCTGCAGCCGAGGGAGCGCGCCGCCGCCAGTCGCCGGCCAGGGCGCACGCAGGCGCCGCAGCGTGCGCGCCGCCACAAATCCGCCTTCGCGCCTAGCAGCCGCGGCCCGGCGCCGCATGTTGTCTCGCAAAGCCGCGCCCCGGCGCACCCATACATAGACGGCGTGCGCCCCCCTCTGCAGCAGCCACGCAGCCCCGCTGCCCCGGGCCACTATCGTTCCGCACTGCCCCCATCACAAGCTCACCCTCCTCGCCGTCGCCCGCGCCCGCGCCGCCGTCCTCTCCCAGGGCCTCAAACAGGCTGTCCAGCTTCGAGCTGTCCTTCTTGCCCTTCTTCTTCTTCTTGGCCCCGCCCTCCCCCTCGCCCCCGCCCTCCTCAGCCTCCACCGCCGCCGCCGCCGCGCCCTCGTCGCCGCCACCGCCGCCGCCGTCGTCCTCTGCTAGCGCGGCAAACAAGCTGTCCACGTCCTTTGACTTCTTCTTCTTCTTTTTGTCCTTCACAGCGGCCGCCGCGGCCGCCGCCGCCTCCTCATCCTCATCCTCATCGCCGCTGCCGTCCTCCGCCAGCGCGGCGAAGAGGCTGTCAGCATCCCGCTGCTTCTTCTTCTTGTCCTTGCCCTTGCCCTTCTTGCCGCTGCTCGCCGCCGGCGGCGCCGACTCGGCCTCCTCCTCCTCCTCCTCGTCCTCGTCAGCATCGTCGCCGCCGCCGAGCGCCGCAAAGCCCGTTGCCGCGCTCTTAGCGGCCGACGGCTCGTCCTCCTCCTCCTCCTCCTCCTCCTCGTCCTGCTGCTGCCCCTCTTCCTCCTCGTCCTCGCCGCCGAGCAGGGCGAACGCGCTCGCCGCGCCGCCCTTGGGCTTGGCGCCCTTCTTGCCCTTGGCCTTGCCGGCCGCGGGGCGCGGCGGCGGCGGCGCCTCGTCCTCTTCTTCCTCCTCATCCGATCCGGCCGCAGGTGGCGCCTTTAGAGACAACTCAACTGCGTCGTCGTCGTCGTCGCTGCCGAATGCGGCGTCGAACTTGCCGCCCTTCTTGCCCTTGCCCTTGCCCTTCTTGGCGGCCGCGCCGCCGCCGCTGCCGCCGGCGGGGGCGGGCTTGGAGGCCGCGGCCGCGGCGCCGTCGGGTTCTTCGGCGTCAGGGTCTGGCAGATCCAGGAAGGCCGCGGCCTTGCCCTTCTTGCCCTTCTTGCCGCCCTTGGGCGCCGGCTGCGGGGCCCGGGGGTGCGGTGAGGCCGGAGTGAGGGCGGGCCAGGCGCGGCGCATTGTGAGCGCGCAAAGCGGCGCGCGGACAGGCGCCGGCTCGGGATGATGATGGAGGTGCGTCCGTACCAATGCCTGGCAAGGCAGATTAAAGACCACAAAGCGGTGCGCTCCAATTGCGAATCAGTCTTGTTGGTTGTGCTATGCAAGTGCAATGCTCTGTGCCGAGAGCTGCTGAAAAGCCAAGCCTACCTTGGCAGGCTCGTCCTCCTCTACAGCTACGCCATCTTCCGCATCGGGAAGGTCTAGAAAATCGTCTCCCTTCTTCTTGCGTCCCATGCTGCCGCTTTGTGTTGCTCACGGTCAGATCGGCTTTGGCTGCGCGCTCCGTTGCGCACAATCAGATGTATACAGATATCCCAAGCGATTGTCGCAAACGTTGATATCGACGCGCTTCGGTCCAGGACACTCATCAGTGCACGAGCGCTGCTGAAGCAGCTGCTGAGCGCTCCCAGCCCGCAGCGTCATGGGTGTGCAGAGCTCTTGCAGCTTGACGCCCAGCCCTGATAGTGCGCGCGAATCAGATCAAGCTGGATGCGCTTGCGCGCGGCCACTGGAGATGACACAGCCGGCAACGCTGAAGGGCGGGCACTCTGGTAAGCGCCATCCAAAGTGACGCAGGACAGGCCCACGGAGTGACACCTGATGCGGACACACTGTACCGACCATGGGAGGTACCCCTGAGGAAATCCCAAGCGGAACGGCATTGTCTGCTCTGCAGTAACACAGTGTGTTTACCCCGCCGCTCATGACACCACGCGGCCCGCAGCAGCACGCGCGCCGCCGGCCTGCATCCCAACCGCACGGCGTGCGGGCCACGCTGACGGTGGCCCCGCTGGTGCACATCGCGCACCCTCCCATTCGCCCAGCCTGCCATGCGGGTTTCGGCCGCTCATCGGCTACCCTGCCCCTGCAGCGCCGCAGCACAGAGGTGGCAAGGTGCCCGGTGACTCCCTTGAACATGCGGCCGAAGCGCTGGGAAGTGTTGCGGGCCAGGCTCGCACGACCGGGGGTTTGCGGCTCAGCAGCCTGGCTTGATGGGCCTGGAGGTTTGACACATTGCTCACTCACTCCATTTCAACACCAGAGCAGAAGTTGAATCGATGGCTCCAACGTGGGGTCGAACCCCACCGCTGCTGGTTTCGTGCGTCCCGAGGATCGGGTGGTTTCCAAGGTTACAGGCGAGGGGCTCAGCGCATTGCTGCGGGATCCAGGGGCTGCCAAGCAAATCAGATGGTCAAAACTTTGATCGACTGCTCCTAATAACATCGGCGGGTTACAGCGGAGGGATTTGCACACACCAGGCTGTCGGTTGGTTGCAGTCTGCCATGGCGCGCCCGCGCTCCGCTTGTCTCCTGCTGGCGCTGCTCGCCGCAGCGTGCCTGCTGGCGCCCACCGCGCTGGCCGCCCCCGTTGATGACACCACGGCCGCCCCGCCGGAGCCGGCCGTGGCGGGCGG